GTCATATGTTCTTAAAGCTGAGAAACTTTTGCCTGGTGACATGGCTTAGAGGGAGAACTTGGACAGAGAGGAAATGCCAGTTTCAGGATATGCATCATGTTTCAGGATAAAGTACATTTGGCTCTATGACCACTGAGTGTTAAGAATAAAGCTGTGAGGAAAGTAGTTACTAATCTTTATTTAGAACACACTTGGTGGACGTTTGAAGACAAAAGGCTAAGCGTGTCCTCAGGACCAGGTTTCTCTGTCCTCGGGGCAGGGGTTGAGCTGCTTGGGGGCCTCTGAGTGGTATTGTTTGAGAATTAGTCATGACTGTGAATCATGTTTTGGTAAATTGCTTTCTTGGGTACATTTAATTTTCTTTTTGCAAATGTACATTAAGAATGAGTATCCAGCTGTGGCTGGATACATGGGGAGATCCTATAGGACAAGAAGCAGTTGAAAGTGCTTTCCATTGTGGAGAGGGCCTTCTGAAGGCACCAGAAATGATACTCAGTCTTGTGGGAGGAAATCTTTTCCAATTTTCTAGGTTTCTGTAAACATGTATGAGTGATGTGGTTATAAACAGTTACGATGGAAAATAACATTCAACAAGAAACATGGTGCACTCCCAGGCAGGGACTGCACAAAAGATGCCCTAACACACTTAATGCCCTAGTTAAATGCATTGCACAAGTCCCATTTTCAGAAACTGGATAAACAGAACATCTTTTCTCTTTCTATTCTAAGCTCCCATTTTCACCCTCCTCCACCTGGCCGCTTCAACGGCACAATAAATGGAAATCTTATTTCCTGCCTCTGCAGACCTATTTACCTGAACGTCTAAGCTCACCCTTACCTTTCTCAGGTCTCTTCCTTCCGAAATGCACTTTACTTTCATCTCCCTGACTTCGTTGCCCTCTTTTTTTAAAGCCTCTCTAATCCTGCACCCCAGGTACTTTAATCTGTAAGGTCGGACATTGCCATCCTGCATAACATCCTTTAAACATTCATTACCTCCAGATTCACACTGTCTTCCATTACAAATTTAAGTCCTTTTTCACAGTCTATCATAGTGGGGCAAAATGTAAAATAAAGAACTATTATCAAAAGCCATTCTGCCAGTTTAAAATGCCTCATTGGATGGCACTATCCCCTTTGAGAATTCCCTTATCTTTGCAAACTATGGCTTGGATTTGCAGTTCTTTTGTGTGTATGTATGTGTATCTGTATATATTTATTTATGTTCATTACAAATAGAGCCGTATGTCCCAGTGCCCTTTCTGGTCTTTTATTTTTGAAACTCAGAGAATGAGTGGTTTTAAAATTAGAAAAGGTGTGTGTGTGTATGTATGTGTATGAATGATAAGAGACCACATATGACCTGCAAAGCCAAAGCTTTTACAGCAAAAATGTGCTGACCCCTTAGAGATTTCTCTTTTCAAAACCATGTCATTTTCCCCCCCCCAAAGTGTAGTTCTTAAATGTGTGGAGTAGTGGGTATGATAAAACCTGAGTTGCCGGTTGAGGGGGATTTGAGGGTGGGGGTTCTCCATGCGTGGTTCTCTCCTCACAGTTAACTTCCATGCCCTGGCATCCTATCTGGGCAACTGTGACTGGCCTAGATGTGCTCTGACATTACAGGCATGTTCGGATGGATGTGAGTGTCCACGGTGTATAAATGTTCCATGGGAAGCACCTGCCTGCGGAACAGGACGGGGCTGGGTAAATCATTGGTGGTTGCCAACCCACTTTTCCTACCCTGGAGAGGATGCCTTGTCCTACCTGGCCTGGCGCTTCTGCTGCTGCAACAGGAAGGGTGATTGAAATATGCTTCTTATCACTTAATTGAGGTGGGAATAAAATAGGTCACAGTTAAAAGAAAAACGTCTATTCCAGGCTCAAAGAAATGTGCCAGCCATGCTGGTTATTGCAGTGAAATGTTTTTAATTCCTCTAAAAACCTCCTTAAGCATCTGCTGAGGAATGTTAAATCAACTGGAGAATTTCTGGTGTCGTGTTGCCCAGACCAATATCGTGTAGTTCTCGTGGATGTCCTGAAGACACGTTCACTGTGTGCCACTGGCGCCTCAGTGTCCTTGTGTTACTCTTGGACTGACTGAGGCCTGAACCCTTTGCCCTGGAGCAGTTCAAGCAGCAGGCTCCAGAGTGCCGTCTCCAGCTTCTAAGCCACTGCATCACCCCGTGTGCTTTGTGCCGCCTGTTCATGCCTAAAGTTTCTGTCCCTGACTGTCTAATAAAAGGAAGCTGGAAGTTAGGGATCTTTGATTGTGTGTGAAAAACACCCCATCAGAACAATATGTCTGGGGCCGATACTATAGTGAAATGTCACTGTAAACTTGAAATAGAAACCCTTTCTCCCTGAACCCCATCTCTAAGTCCTGTTTTATTGCAGACCACATAAAATCAAAGTGCCAGAGCGCAGCTGCTCCCGAGGCTGAAGGCCCTCGTGGTTATGGCACGCTTTGGAAACTCATCCCCACCAGACTTGCAAGTTAGTGAAAATACTTGCTTTGCTTGATATAAACAAAGTTTATGGGCAGAATTTATAATTAGGAAGCTCCTTAATTCTTTTACCCTTCAATTCCCAGTTTCTCTTGAGTCATATTGGGGGGTACCAAGTTTTTAAGAAAATAAACGCTTTCTCAGTGTGATGAGCTTCACTTTTTATTTATTTTATAAAGGATGCGTTTCACCCTAATTTTGTGTACTTAGCCAAATTAAAGGACTTGAAGTCGGGAGGTTTTTTTTGTATAGGTCAGTAGGAAATGAGTAGGCAAGCAAGTGCTTTGTCACAGCGCCTGCTCCTGTCAGACTCGGCCTCAGCCCTTGGACTGCCCAGGCCTGTGGTTCAGTGGCACAGGGGCAGCCACAGGGCAGTGCAGCTCTCGAGGTCACCTCTCCATGGCCCCCCGCCCCATCTTATGTGTGTAACCCTGTGGAGCTTTGGTCTCAGAGCTTTCCAAGTTCTTGTCTGTCTCCCAGTGTTTCTTGTCAGTTATCTGGGAATCAGGTGACCAGGCAGCATCCTTGTAGGCACAGCACTGGCTGGGATTCCTGACATGAGGCCGGGGTGTGGTAGGGACAGTCCTAAGAGACAGATGTCAGACCAGAGAAGACACCTGCCCCTTCTCTTACAAGTATCCCCTTTTTTCCTCAGAGTAGTGGGCATTCAGCCCCTGTAGGAGCTGGCAGTATGGTGCAGCCCCAGCTCTGCCTGAAGAGCCATTCCATCGCCAGGCAGCAAAGCGGAGGCAGCTGGGAAACTTTTATGTCCTGGCTCAAGACCTCAAGGAAGTAGTTTTTGAAAGATCATAGGCTCATCCATGGTGGTATGAGGCCAGCGCCTGGGTGCTGGAAATTGGAGGTGGTGGCACTTACGGAGTTGATGAAGAAGCAGGGTGGGCCGTGACCCAGGAGGGCTCACGGGGACCCAGGAGGTCCAGAGCTCTGCTGACTCCTGCCTGCCCCCTCCTCTCAGGGACAGAACCTTCCTTGTCTTGGCTATTTGCATGAACGTTCTTGTTTTTGAAAATTGTAGTGAAGGTTTCCTGGTAATTCTGGGTTTTTTTTTACTTCAAATACCAGTTGTTTGGACATTTAGGGATAAATCTTTAGTTTCCCAACTTTATTAAAACCCCTTCAAACATGGCTGGCCCAGGTGAGACTGAAATTGTCTTTCTCCTGTTGCCGATTTCCCTGTTGTGGTACCCATGGCTGCTTTTTTCTGTTAACAGTTCTGCTGGTTTTGAATTGCTTTGAAAGTCAGGCATGAGCCTGTTTGACTGTTTTAACCCACCCCAAACCCAGGTCTGTGGAGAGGATGACTCCCCACCGCACCGTTCCTCCTAACATGAAAACATGCATGATGAAGCAGTTTGAATTTCATGGATTGGGGCACATCCCTTGTGAGCATTATGCACGGAGATCTATCAAGCCCACGTTCTGCCTGCCTTGAATTCAGATCCAGACAGCTTTCAATTCAAATCTGATTCTTCAAAGTAGGGAAGGCATGAGAAGGACCAGTTGGATAATATTTATCAGAGAGACTAGTGTGCTTATGGAACACATTATCTTTCCAATCGTGCTGATATAATTCAGAGCTTGAAGATGTTTTTCATCATCAGGATCTTTTGCACTTCCGCAGTTGCTGCTTAGTACACGCAGGAGGGGAGTTGGTGATCTGTTGGGGAGGAGCAGTAGGAGAACATCTTATTTGAATATTGTATTTTATTTTTTTTGAGAGGCTGATCCTAGCCTGCATATGCCCTTCCTTGGGTACCTTCTGCATTGTAATTGCATCCTCTGTATTTTTCTATCTGCTTTTGCTAGAATGTTTAATTTCATCATAGTAAGCTTGCTTGTCCTTAGGTTAATTTAGGGGCTGCATACTGAGGAGAACCTGCTCAATCAGCAAGCCAGTTCATCTCAAGACTAAAGGTTGGGTCTGGTTTAGATGTAGGCAGGTAGAACCTATGCCGTGGGAGATGTGGAGTGGATCAGAGGAGAGAGGAGATGTACGGTGCTAGGGAAGAATGTTAAAGTGGGGTAGACCCCCTCCCTTGGACATTCTTAGTGGAGTGAGGTGGTAGGGGGCCTGGAGGTTTTGGAACAAATCTTGGCATTTGAATCTCTTCTGCTGATACTGTGAGACCAGTAATAGCCCTCCCTTCCTTTAGCTGAAGTCACAGCTTCCTGTGGCTCACTCATACTTGATCTTGATCTAAGATCAGTGCCTTTCTGGACCTCTTGTTAGAAATGAAACCAGTCCAGTTGGTACGGCACAGAAAGGAGTATGCAGAATTCACTGGTGCTTGCTTTGTGAAACTTAATTTTCCCTCACAGGATAAAAAGTCCTACGATTAATAAATCATTTAAAAAAAGTTGAACGTATGCATATGACATATGGGAATTACATTCTAAGAATGTAGCCCTCAGGAATTATATGTGCACCTACCTGTAATGGATGGTCTAACCTAAGGCTTTCTCTCTCCACTGCAGGAGGTGACTTTGGTCCAGAGACTTCCCCGCAAGTCCTGACCCAAGGCCATGGTGGTGACTTTTCTGTGAGTGGTCTTCCTGTAGCAGAGGACACCTGCAGGGGAGGCTTGGCCAAGGGCGTGTCAATGTCTCTGCCTTCATCACCTCTGCTGCCTCGACAGTCTCACTCCGTGCGATCGAGGCCAAACAAGAAATCCCCAGGTAAATAGGCATCAAAACACCCAGATTGTCTTGGTTAGACACATTATACATGTATTGAAATTAAGCAAAACTAATGGGAGAAGGTTTTTTTCTTTGTTACAGTAAAAAATCTTCTGGGAGAAGGTTTTTTTTCTTTGTTACAGTAATTTATGGAAGAACAAGATATATTTTAAAAACAACTTGTGATTTGAGTAGACTTCTTTGATCTGTACATAAGCTATTTTGATTGCTCAGACTAGACTTTTTCAAAAGATTGAGGATTTTGTTCTCAATATTGTTCACCACTGGGTCTTACTGTTTTCTTGCTCATGAACTAGGGAATGCTTTAATCTAAACTCGCTGTGGTACATTTAAAGGTTTTGAAGTGTAATCTAATAACAGTCCGTTTATTACTACCAAGTGTTATATACTGATATATTTTCTTTGATTACATCATCTGGCATTTGAGCAGCTCTAAAATATTATTGTTTATGAAAATTCAGGCTTGTGAAGGGGTATTATAGATTACTTGTTTAAAGTATTTTGGCTTCCCTTATCATTACCAACTTTTTGTACTTAACATTACTAATAAAAACCCAAACAGACTTAACTTTAACAGATGTGAGGAAAGCCTTTCTGAAATGCTGATACCTGGAATCATAAAAGTCTTTGCTATTCTTTAGGTTTCCTGAGTATTTATTTACTGAGGGCAGGCTTATTTGGGGCCTTACTGATAGATCATATGCTAATGCAAGGATTCATCTCATTTATATGTAGACATGTTTGGAATTGGCCTAAAGTGTGCCCCAGGACTATAAAATTGATATCCGTTTCTCTGGTTTTCTAAATATTTTGTATTACTTGATATGGTATGTGCTTTATTTCCAAATCATTTAATTGTGGATTGTGTGGGGGTAAAATTCAGAGGGTAAATCTTAAGGCTTTGAATGTTAGAAATGGTGCTATGAATTGGTAAGTGTCCAAAATCTTTTATTGTTCTAGAACTTTCTTATTTTGGACAACATTGTTTACAATCCAGTCATTAGCTGGAACTTGGAAACCTTTTTGGTATGAAGCGATTTCCTGTGCCAAAGAATTTGACCTGTTTATCAGTATTGGAGGAAATTCCTGGAATGTCCTTCCTTCTCTTTGCCCTCCCCCATCACTTTGTCTCTGTCAGATTTCTCTTCTCTCAAGTCACAGTTCCCACAGTGCCTTTCTTGCTGGTGACCCCATTGGAATTACTCTCTTCCCACAAACTGTGCACCACATTTTACTTTTTCTTTTATCAGTTACATCATTTGTCCTTTCCTTGAATTAGTTTATGTGCTTTCTATGTCTGATGGTTGAGGACAAGCATACTGTCTTCTCTAAGTATACCTCATTTGTATAAAACAAGTAATAGATTAGGAATGCTGTCTGGATCCTTAAGGGACCCCCATGGAGAGCTATGACAAGTGGAGAGATTTGACCTTTAGGATAATTTTCCTTCTGAGAGTCTGTGTTGCTGCCAGTGAATTGATGCCTCTTAGAACGGGTAACCCGAAAGACTAGGGAATACTGCATTTCAGATAAAATTTTATTATTCATAGTAAATTTGGTGTTTGTTGTAGTGGGACTTAGTCTTTTAACCTTTTTTGTTTTTCCCAGCTTTATTGAGATACGTTTGACATATGACATCGTGTAAGTTTAAGGTGTGCGATGTAGTGATTTTACGTATGTGTATATATTGCAAAATGATTACAGTAAGGTTAGTTAACCCATCCATTACTTCACAGTTATAATGTATCTACTTACTTTGAGGCATTTTAGTTGAATGTCAGGTCGCAATGAATGGCATGGCCAGCCCCAGAAATGTGGCTCTGCAGAGGGTCTCCCAGATCATAGAATGTGGGCAGTGAGATCCTGGATGAGGCCCTGTCCCTGTCTCTGGCCTGCCCAAAGCAGGTGCCTTCGGCTTTGAAAAAATATCCTAGAGTTTATTTTTTCTCCACAGAAATAAAATTTATTTCTGCTACATTCTTTGCAAGGCCTTATGAATAGAAAGAGTGGTTCTGTAACATTCAACCCTTTAAAGGATCGAAGAAAATATTCTCCATATTTGATGCTTTTTGTTCAAATGACAGTTAAGTACACTAAGCAGATTCTTCTCTAGCAGAGCCGAGCTTATGTGTTGTCCAAATTTGTGCAGCAAATTAGTGTCTCACAGCAGTAATTTGGCTTCGTTATCTCAGTAATTTTCATTCGAAAAGGAAAGGGCGGAGATGTTTGCTTAAAAATGGCAGTGACTCAGAATATATCAGGCAATAAACATTTTTGCGCAGTGTCCAACACAGGTTTCTGTTTAAACCATGTTGTTGTAAAAGTATCCAGAACCCGACCGTTCTACCTGCCTGTACAAATAGTTGACATATGGTTGTGAATTTGCACTGGATTATAAAATAGCCTTGTTTTTAAAAAGCTAGCGCTGCTGTTGTAAATGCAGTGCATCGCCCACAAGGACTGAGCACCACCCTGCCTCCCCCGTCTTCCCTAACCCCTGCAAGCTGTGCTTCAGGATCCTGTCATCTCTCAGACCCAGCTCTGAAACTACATTGATGACTTCTGTTCTCATTGGTAAGATAAGACCCCTTTCTCTCTCTTTTGTTTAAGAAGGTGTTTTAAAAACAACAACAACCCCCCCTCCAAACCTGTTCTACTTGTTTGGATAGAAACTCTTCACTAATTGATGCTAATCAAGAAACTGTCAGGAACGAAACTTACTCTACAAAGGTCAAATACTATAAACCCCTGTAATAACGCACTCAACACAGCCTCTGTTAATGGAAGTTTGTATTTTAATGCAATTGCTCATTAGCTCCTGGGCGATAGGAACTCCCTCGACCAGAGACAATTCATGAACTCTGCAATAATGTTGACCCTTCATTTTCTGGACTGACTTTTTTACATTCCACTTATATTGCTAGTTTTTATTTTTATTTACTCTCCTTCCTTGTTCCATGTATATTGTTTTTTCACTGCTAGTTGGAAAATTCGATGTTCTGAGTATTTTTAAAAAAAAAATTTTTTTTAATGGAAAATCCATTTTCTGGTAATGAAAATAAGGACCCGTGTGCACTAAAGTAGTTCTGTGGCTGTTGCAAACCTTTTTGGATTAAGAATTCATTAATATCGGTAATGTATCCTTTTGTCTTCCAGAGAAGAGCAAAGCCCATTTCCTGTGGTTTATTTATTAGTAATGTCATTAGTTACTTTGTATTTAGATTACATTTCCCAGATCACTTTGGACCCATTATGGAACAATCAAAAGGTAGGGACAAATGAGAAACAACCTTTTAAAAACCCTGATGGGGTAGGACCGCAGCTGGGGGGAAGTGGGGATATGCCTTTCTCTGCCTCACTTGTAGGTGGGGGAGGCCTGGTGGTGGTTGCATCCCCCAGCTTCTGTTCTGTCTCATTGACAGAGCTGATGTAGCAGGTTCGGAAACCCCCCCTGGCTGTCCCTTTAAGGGAAAAACCTCCAAGCTGACAGGCTGTAAAGTGGAAGTCATCCTGCCCTTTGATTCTTGGACCATGAGTTAATGTCTGCCAAGGCCCGCCCACCCTGAACTCTACAATAGAGTTCCGTGTAGAAAATATGTGGAAATCCCAGCATAGAGACAGAAATACTCTCAGTGTTTTTGATTTTCTAGTTTTTTCTTTTTTAAATCTATTCCATCTAAACTTGAGACCACATGTGCTCTGCCTTTTTCCACTTAATAGATCATGAGCAAGTTTGTTTGCTTGAAGAACTTGCTTTTAATGTCCATTGTTTCAATATCCTCTAATTGATTTTTAACTGATTTCCAATTTGTTTTTCAGTTTTTTAAAAAATTGGAGCACAAGTCAAGATGTTTTGTTTTTGTTATGAAATGCCTATGAATTTAAAATTTTTAATTGTGAAATAGAACAAAGTTCACCATCTTAACCATTTTTAAGTGTACAGTTCAGTGGTGTCAAGTATATTCACACTGTTGGGCAACCAGTCTCCAGAACTCCTGATGTGAATATTTTTGTCCAGTAATTTTTAATATACATCTGATATCTTAAGAGTGGCAGGTTCCCACAGTGGAATTATTGGACTAAATGGACTGCATTTTTAAAGATGCTTGGTACATACAGCCCAGTCACTTTCCAGAAAAGCTGTATTGATTTCCCATTCCCTCCAGCATTCTTTGAGGCCTCTTTTTGGAGTTAGCATCTTCTGGGAACATCAGTCTTAAATGGATGATGCTGGTAGGTGGTTTGTGAGGCCTGGTTTTGGACCACTGAGAAATAATAAGAAACTGCTCCGAGAAGTCATTCTGTAATCTTCCTCTCTTGAACTCCCTTCTGTCTGCCCTTCTCAGACAATTGCCATTTTCTTTCTTTCCATGATATTGTGTCAGGAGAATTATCACAGCTGAGTCAGATCAAGCTCATTGTCAGAACACTCAGCTGGCTTCCAGTCTCTGTTCTGTGGTAAGGATCATAACCATGTTAGAGTTGGCAAGGCCTTCAAGCAAGACATCCATTCCAGGCCACTTTGCAGATATGGAAGCAAAGACTTCTCTACATCATGGAACTTGCCCCACTGTGCAAGCTGTTGGTAGAGCTTGGCCCACGCCCAGGTCCCCGCCTCTGTCCCCAGCATGTTCTTCTATGACAGTCTGTACTGCTCAGCCTGCACATTGTTGACACAGGTGCTGTAAATGACGTGGCTCTGTGTTCTGGTTGCATGTACATGGGGAGGCCACAGGCTTCAGGTTGTGCCCACATGGATCTACAAAGCTTCTGGGGAACAGAGGTGGAGAATAATACAGGAAATGCATAGTCCTGGCCCAAGGACACTTGGAGAACCAGCTAGTTCTAGGCCCTGCTTTCACCTCTGAGTAGTCAGGGCCACAGTCGGTGATCTGACCCTGCACGAGGACAGTCCTGCTGCTGTGGTGAATAGGAGAACATGCTTTGTTTCCTCCTAGAGACTTGTTATATGACAGCTT